CACCCGCATTTTACTCACCCTTTCGACTAATACCCTCAAGATGTTACACTTATGCAGATGGCGTACGGTAGTAGTAGCATAACTTAACTGTGCGCAGCTGCACCTGTCTCCCGGCAGCACCAGCAGCCCGTGGCAGGCGGCAGCAACAACATCGCTTCGCGCCCAGCAGCACCATGGTGAGACAAGCCTAGGTTTCCCCCTGCCTTGGCTGCATCATGTTCTTTGGGTCTCGTGAAGCTTTGTTATCCCTTCTCATTTTATCGTGTAATGTCCCTTTGCACCGGCCCACACCAGCTAGTGAACGGGAGCAGCTGCAACCCACGGACAGCAACTGATGGCAACCTGCATCATCACCTAGCGGCCAACACTTGGCGCCCAGCACCTGGCGGCCGGCGGCACCTCCTTGTGGGCGTCAGCAGCACCAGCGGCGCCTGACAGGCTGCATCAGCATCACCTGGCCGCATGCAGCTCCCCCTGACGCCCTCCTGCAACAGCACCTGACGGCCCGCAGTACCAGCACCTATTGGCCTGCAGACCTGGGGCTGCATCTCCTGTAGCTCCAGCACTCCTTGGTACGTTTCTGATCAGCAGTTGCAGCAGTGCCTGATGGTGAGGAATCTCGGGATCTCCTAGCCTTGCCGTAGTAGCCTGCCTTCTCCCTTCTCATTTTGCTTTCCTTCCACTCTCCTCCTGGATGAATCTCCAAAATGGCTTAACATGTGTTGTCTTGGTATGCCCCCCCCTTTCACCAGCAGTACCAGCTAGCGGACAGCACTGCCTGGCGGATTGCAGCACTGCCTGGCGGATTGCAGCAGCGGCTGGCGGTTTGCAGCAACACCTGGCTGACTGCACCTGATGAGCTGCACCTGGTTGGCTGCAGAAACAGCAGCTGCCTTCTTGCACGATCAGCAGCAGCTGCCACATGGTAAGCTGGCATACTGAGGGCTGCATCTCCTGCAACTCTAGCACGTCCTCGTACGCTTCTCTCCTTGATCCAGTATTGCTCATAACTGTGTAATCCTCCACGCACACCATTGTACGATGTTAACAAGTATCTTCACTTGTGGTGTTTCACTCCCCCTGAAATCAGCAGGTACACTTGTAGCAACGGCTGCCCGTGGGCAACAGCAGCTGTAGCACTTCAGCAAGTGCAGTTCGATTGCAGCAGCATCTGCTGGCACACGACAGCAGCATCCGTGATCCATTGTACTGTGCAATGTTGACAGTAGGTCGTTCCCTTAGCACTTGATTGCCGTGTAAATGATCATGAAAACTGAAGAATGAACTTCTGCTTCCCATTTCAGCGTACAAATGCTCCACACCCCACTCCCCCTGTCACCCATGTGTTTGTAATCATGCACGTGTGCAAACATGTGCACATGTGCAAACACATGAGTGAGTCGTGTGGGGCTACGTGATGTCCGGATGTGCAGCACACCTCGAGAAGCCCGCTCGTGTGAGTGTTGCACTAGCACCATTGACTTATTGACCATACGCAGATGTTGCTTTACGTGGAATTGGCTTGACGCCACACAGGCTGAAGGCGACGTCGTGTCCTTTGGTGGGTGCGGGCTGGTCCTTGGTCATGTCTTTTGTCACCTTGTATGTTAAGTCAGCCATGCGCACGCTCGTAGTTGCATATCCCACCTTGCTTCCAACATCATTCTCATCCTCCACTGGTACAGAGGCATCTGCTGAAGGCAAGTCATTCGCTGCAGCACCTCCCTTTCCCCTGGTTGCATTGACTTTATCAGCTCCATGTAAGTCTTGTTCCGTGGAATCCCCTTTCCCCACCGCGGACCTTTGTTCACGTGCCATGTCCCGCACGGCACAAGCCATATGTACGATACGGTAGGTGACGGGTGCAGTAGCAGATTGACCATTCAATCCTCCATGACCATTTGCATTCAATGACGCATCCTCATGAATGTGGCCAGATTCATGTGCAGAAGCAAGGATTGGCTCATATTCCACCATGAGCACTCCATGCACGCCTTTGCCAAGCCCGATCCGTACATGTCCATCTCCAACAGGCATGGTGATCTCCCCTTTTCAGCAACTGACAGAAGGAGCTGAAGATTGCTCTTCAAACCAGGTACGTAGAGCACGTCAGTGTAGCTCACCGTTGTCCCATCGGTTGCATGTACTTTGATTGTGCCCATTGAGTTGTTCAGAATGCTTCTATTAGCAAGCTCCACTTGTACTGGTTCGTCCAACTCTTTCAAACATTCAAATCATTGTTTATCCGAAGTCATGTGCTGGCTGCATCCGCTATCCAGCAACCATAGAGAACCTCCAGAGCTTGGTGAGGTCGTCTGTGACGATCGAACTGTTGCAATGCATGTAACCGTCCGTTTGTTGTCTCTCCCGGCTGTCCTTTGCTGCTTTATAACATTGCTGTCACGTTTGGGGCTGCCACTCCTTCGAGGTGATGTCGAATGGCAGTTGCTGATGCGTTGGTTGGTCCTCCCTCTGTTTTGTCGTTTCCACCACGGTGGTGACCATCATGGTGGTGCCGTGTGACACTTGTAGAACGGGTGGCCCAGTTGTTTGCAAAACCAGCACATGAGAGTTGTGCGTCTTCCTTTTCATCATTGCCCTTCATTTTCTCTCCGTGCGTCGCTTGATGTCCTCCGTTTGAAGTTGCAGCATTCATGGTCCCGGTATTCTCCGTCGCATGTGGATTGTCCTTGCGCGTTTGACCAGCCATGCGTTTGCGTTCCATCATCATGACCGTAAGAGTGATGCTCCACCACATCCACGCGATCGCGCCGCATAACACTTCCCGATTGCATCCCATGTTCCGTGCGCCTCATGCTCCATGCAAGATCCACTCCACGCGGCGCACGAGACGACGCCATCACTAGCCGTGCTCGCGGGTCGCCCCACACTTCCGAGTTGCGATGCCTGTGGTGCGGACTGTTCCGTAGTGCCAGGTGCTTGAGACTGTGCTTGCTGTGCTCGTACGACGTCATTTTGCAGAGACGTGCGTTCTGCCGTCAGCGCCACAATTTCTTCAGAGCTTTCGCGAAGTTGCTGCAGCAGTTTGTTCAGACGCTCCTGCGTGTGGGTGGTGACGTTGATGTGCTCGGCCATTACGAAGGGCGTCGGCTCGTCTTAGTCTAGGCGCAGTCGTGGCTGCACGCGTTTACGAGAGAACGCGAGGACAATGGCTCCTAGGGGCTAAGGTGCGTGAGTCCCTTCGAGTGAAAAATCAAAAGTTGATTTCGTGGGGTGCGGAGATGCGCGGTCCGAAAGAAGGTAGCTCTAATAACCAAATGTTACGGGTGCAATGAATCGAGGTAGCGAGGATTGCACTAAGTGTAAAACGAGTACAATATGTGAGCGAAGGCATGAACGAACATTTATACGCGAAACATGCAAACGGTAACGCGGTGCGTGCGAGCTAGCTAGTGCTAGGCTAGTATCGAGGCTCGAGCTAGTCCCAAAGCGTAGGCCGACACGGCCGGGCCAACGGTGCATAATTTGGTGAAACTGTGCGCGCGGAGTCGGCTCGATAGCAGTAACGGGCGAACAACGGCTGCTGCTAACCGCGATGTTGTAGGTCGCGGTAAGGAATGGCGAGAAAATTCCTTAGGGAAGTCACAATTGCGACATCGATCCTGTGGGAGATTGATGTTCCGAGTATACAGTAATTCGCTGTGTCTTGTATCCCGTTTACGTTAAAGTTCGCTAAGACCCGACAGTAGTCACCGAACGCGATGTCCCTTCCAGATCGATCTGTCACCGCACTCAAATCCTACGTAATGCATTTTAAACTTTTAAAAAGGCTTCTAACCCCGCTAACTTTCGAACCTGAAGACAATCGCGACACATCTGGCTCAGAGGAGATCGATTCTCGCACCTTCGGTGTGTGACCGCGATCCTCCTCGATGTCGCAATTGTGACGCGTCCTTACACTCCCCCACCCCTTTCTGCCAGCCTCACCGTCCCCCGCCTGTCTCCTCACCAAACACGCCTCCTCTCCCCCCCACCCCCCCGCCCCAGCACCACGAGGGTGGTGGACGCGGATTCACCTCCCCCTTGCTGAAGTTCCGTCCGTACCGTCCCGTCCCGTCCGCCCGTGTCTCTTTTCGACGAGCCGATGTACTGCTGCCACCAGTCTCGGTTCGGACTCGGTTTGGGACCATAGCTGCTGTTTGCCACAGGCCACTTTCCCAACTGCCAAACAACCAAACCAGTTTCCAGCTAATGCACCTGTCATCGCCGTTCTATTCTGGAAGATGCTGCTCCTTTCTTCTCCATCCCGTCAACTGGTCTTACAAATCCTTTGTAACGCATCCAACTCCTAAAAAGCTTTCTCGAAGTGAATTTCCGACAACAAAGTTTGCACAGAAACGGACGAACCACCGACCTCACCGACCCCCGTTTGCAGCATTCATCCATGGCCTCCACCAACATCGTGCACCTACCCAACAACATTAACACGCTGTATCGTTTTTTGCGAGATGCAGTGCGGTGCAGTTGTTAGGGTTCCCAGCCACCACGACGTTACTAGTTGCACTGTACCCGTAGCGTTCCTTCGTCCTGCTTGTTCCATCCATCCACCAGTCCAACCTCGAGTTCCGTCATTCTTCACCATTTCCTAACAAGTTCTAGTTTTATCTTAGAGCCGACACTCGCATCCACGGTCGAGGTGTTTCGAAACGACACCACAGCATTTCTGAAGGACAGGCAGACGAACTTATGAGAAGTAATAGCTGAAACCACGCGAGTTAGCCACACGCATGTTGGGCTGTTCATAGTGCAGGGCCTGTTCAAGTCGACGCCAATGTACTACCGCGTGAGAGTGGAATTCAGCTCGTTAGGTCGTTCCTAGTTCGTCTTTCGTAGCCAGCACATCGCGGTAGCTCGTAATCTCTTGTACTAGTCCTCCAGCTCTACTTACCCTCGCCTCGTCGCGTTTTCCCGCGCATTTCCCAACTTCAACGGTCAACGGCCAACCTAGCAAAGCCATTCACGTATCTATCTACATATCTATGAGGCGACTACGATTCCCAATCCCACGCCACTGGGAATCATGCGTGGCGCTCTCACTCCTCGCCAGCCTTCTGGGCCTTGTCGGTCTCGTCGGGCCGGCTAATGCGCTGGTGCAAGTCAATAACATGCAATGTGAGCATCGCTGTCTCGGTGTCTCGCTCTCCTCCCTGTGTCTCTGCCTCGCTGCATGTGCTGCATAGCTGCATCGCGTCCTCGTTCAGAGTTTCACAGTCTCGTCTTCGCGTTCTGCTTTCGACCAGTGCTGCCCCCGCTCGTCGTCCCTCGCTCTCTTCTCTCCTCCTCGCCCGCTGTCAGCCTCGTCAGCAGAGTCAGGGTCGCTCAGCCGTATCGCTGGGACCACAGCTCCCAGGGCTGTTACGTCAGCTATTGAGATAATTGCGTTTAGCTGCCAAGGTAGTCGCAGTTAGCTCCGACAGTAATCGCGTTTAGCGGTTACGACGATCAAGTCAGCTTTTAGAGCCGGGGCGGAATGTGTCCGTGGTCGTAAGATTCCTTCGTCATTCTCCCGCCTTAAAGCTCTGCCTTCTCCTTGCTGGTTCTACGTCACGCGTGCTCCCATCTCACGGTGCTGCTAGCGACGTTCGCGAGTTTCGTAGCGTTTCAGCGGACCGACCCAGCTGCACTCACTCACGTCACCCACGGCCCGACCCAGCTGCACGCACTCACTCCCGTTCCCCAACCACCTCTCCTTACAAGATTTTTTGCCGTTTCTTCTTCTCCCCTAATAATTTCTCCACTTTCCCTGTCCTCCGGCTCTTCCCCCACCGCTCTTCCCCCTCCCTCGCAACCCTCCTTTCCCCCATCCCTCGTCCCTTCCCCATGCTCCCCACCCCCCCCGTCCCGTCCCTCCCTCGCCGTCCGTCCGCCAACCCTTATCCGCGGGCGGGTGCGCACAGACGGCTTTCTGTCGGATCTGCGCGCGGCGTGGGGCGGCAACTTCATAGAGGCGCGCACGTGGGCGTACGACGCGCGGTGCTTGCAGGGCCTGGACGACGGGTCGGACGACATCCCCGTGCTCAAGGGGCTCATCTGCTCCGCCGACGGCAGCATCATCGAGATGTGAGGGGGCGGGGGCAGGGCGGGTGGGAGGCGCGGTGCGGGGAGCGGGATACCGGGATACTGGGAGCGGGATACGGGGAGCGGGATACACGGGATACGACGACATCCCCGTGTTCAAAGGGCTGCTGTGTTCCGCCGATGGCAGCATCATCGAGATGTGAGGGGGCGGGGGGAGTGCGGGTGCGAGACGGCGTGCGGGGATTCGGGGAGCGGGATGGGGGGAGGGGGAGGGGGAGGGGGATGGGAGGCGGAAGGGCCGGTGAGGGTGGTTATGGGAGGAGTGGTGATGTGTGTTTGGGGTTGGCGGGGAGGAGAGGTGGAGCGTACAGCTTGTTCTCACTGGACGCACTGAGTCACACGGGCGAACGAGGGCGCTGGGAAGGCCGGGGGCGAGTGTGTGACGAAGGCGGAGCTATGGCCGCCCTCCCCAGGGAGGGCGAGCGCGTTCACGCCGCCATTGGTTACTTACGGTTTGCAGAGTTTTTTGTTTGATTGTTTGTTTGTTTTGTTTTGTTCTTTCGTTAACCCAGATGGCATGACTGGTCGCACACACCGCTTGGATTGGCCATGATAAGTCACATGCCGGACGGCTTGCCTTCCACGCACTCCCTTTCATCTTCCCACTCCCTGAGCCCCGACGTCTTCATTTGCTCTCTCTCCGTGTTTATGTGATCCTTTCTCTCTCCCTCTCTTGTCTACCTCCGCCTCTCGTCCGTGTGCTGTGCTGTGCCGTGCTGTGCTGTGTGGTGCTGTGCTGTGTGCATGCAGCAATCTGCAGCACAGGTCGCTCGTGGGGGTTATTCCCGAGTTCATCAAATACTTCACTGCCCTCACTGGCCTGTGAGTCACCCCCCTCCCTCCCTCCCTGCTGCTGATTATGATGCCGCCGCCGCCGCCATTACCGTGGCACGGTTGCGTGTGTGTGGGACACTATTTGCGCATGTGTGCCGTGCCGCCCCAGCAGGAGTGGCTTTCCGTTCTGACCAGGGGTTCGCAGAGGCGTGAGGGTGTGTCCCCTTGTTGGTCTACCTCTCTCTCCCTGCTTGTCCTGTGCCACGCTTCCCTTTCCATTCCCTCCGCTTCTCCACCCTTTCCCCTTCTTCCTCCCCCTCTTTCCCTCTTTCGTTCTCTCTCACTCTCTCACTCACTCTCCTCTCTCTCCGTCTCCCTCCCTCCCGTGCGCGCCACCCGGCCTGGAGCAGCTACCTGTCGGACAACGAGCTGTACGGCTCCATACCCGCCGGCATCAGCGCCCTCGCCTCCCTGCAGTACCTGTGAGTCATGTGTGTGCGTGCGTGTGTGTGTATGCGTGCGTGTGTGTGTGTGTGTGTGTGTGTGTGTGTGTGTGTGTGTGTGTGTGTGTGTGTGTGTGTGTGTGTTCGTGCGTGCATGCATGCGTGCGTGCGCGCGCGTTTTTTCTGTTAGTCGACTAAATCGTTTCTGAGTCCACTCAAAAACTCCCTGCAGTACCGTGGAGGCACCACACCAGTCCCGTGCTACCCCCCCCGCTCTCCTTCTTTGCGTGTGGACGCTGGCTGGTTCTCATGGCGTGCGTGCCTGCGTGTCACACGCAGGTGCAACAAGTATCAGTCTAGCATGCGGAGCGCATGGGGAGGGAGCAAGAGATTCGTGTCACGTCCCGACCCATGGGTGTGTCTGTGGCATGTCGCTATCCGCCATCGTTTTCCTCTGTGTCGTCCCTCACGTCTCCCTCCAGGCACCTGGACTACAATAGCATATCGGGCACCCTCCCCTCCACTATCGGCAAGCTACCCTTGCTGCAGAGCCTGTGAGTGCTATGCCCGTCTGCCCTGCCATGCGTGGGAGCGCCGTGTCCGTCAGGCCCAACGTGCTGGGTGTGGCGTGAGTGAGCGGATGAGGGGCATTGTGGATGATGAGAAAGCACAAGACAGGCGGGGGACGTGCTGTAAGGCAAGAGAGGAGAGCGCAGTGCAGTCTAGCATACATGCATACTCCTTGTATGTGCGGCACACTGCACCTCTACCCGCCCGCCCACCCACCCACCCACCCACCCACCCACACCTTCCTATATCATCGGCCACGCGCTCAACTCCCCCTCCCCCTCACACCGCCCCCTCCCCCCGTTTTCTGCCCTCTGCCGAGAACCCTGCGTGTGCCTCCCCGTGGCATCCCTCCCCCTCAACCGGACACCCCTGCTGCTCTGGTCCCAACACCTCCCCCCTTTCCCCCCCGCCCTCCCCTGTGCGGTGTGTGCGGGGGTCAGGCGGCTGAAGGCGAATCTGTTGACGGGGACCATCCCCAACATGGCCACGCTCAAGAACCTCGCCACTCTGTATGCCCTTACCGCCCACGCCCTTGCCCTTGCCCATGCCCATGCCCACGCTGCGCCGTGCCATGCTGTGCCGCACTGTACCGTGCCGTACCTTGCCCTGCTGTGCTGTGCCGTGTATGTCACAGTGCTGAGCTGTTCCTTTAGTGCGCCCTTCCGTGTCATGTTCATGCTGCTCAAGTTCAATGCTCATGTAGCGCCTCCTCTCACCCGGTTCCATACCCAATGCTTTTATTCTCCTTGCAATCTCCCTTCCTTCACCGGATCCTTCCATCGCTCCCTCCCTCCTCTCTTTCCCCTCCCTGACTTCGCTATCTCTCAATGACCCGTCCATCTGTCGCTCCTTTCTCTCTCCCTCCTTCCCCTATCGTCCTCTGTGTTCGTCCCCCCTGCCCCCCATCCTCGCCTCTGCAGCGACCTATCGCTGAACCGCTTGAATGGCATCATACCGCCCACCCTCGCAGCAATGCCGGGCGTTGGAGAACTGTACGGCAGGGCGCAGGGAGGGGTGGCAGGGGCGGGGAAGGATGGGAGGAGTTGTGGGTCGACGCGCATTTGTGTGTGTGTGCTATGCGTGTGTGTGTGTGTGTGTGTGTGCGTGTGTGTGCGTGTGTGTGTGCTGTGGGTTGTGTGTGTGTGTGTGTGCATGCATGGGTTTTTGCATCTGTGTATGTGCTTGTGTTGTGTGCCAGCGAGTGTGTTTGGATGATGTGTGTGTGTGTGTGTATGTGTGTGTGGGTGTATGGGTGTGTGGGTGTGTGCGTGTGTGCAACCACACATGCATGCATGGAGAGACAGTTACGCCTGTTGCATGCCGAATCGCCATCTATGCCCCACATTCTTCCATCCAACCATCAGTGCAGTGCAGCAGTGCTGCTCCTCCTTCCCTTTCTCTCGCCCCCACCTCCCCATCACCGTCCTTGCATTCATCGCCCCACCACTCCACGCCACTCCACCACATGCACCATGCCATGCCATGCCACGAGACATCCATGCAGCACCATCCCATGCCATGCCATGCCACGAGACATCCATGCAGCACCATCCCATGCCATGCGTGTGTGTGTGCGGCAGGTTCCTAGCAGGCAACAGCTTGTCAGGCCCTCTGCCGCCCAAGCTCAACATGCCCAATCTTTACTCCTTGTACGCCTGCCATCCGCCCTCCATCTCTGCACTATCGCCACCCCTCTCTGCACATTTGCCATGATCCGGAGCTCTCCTTCACACCTGCAGCTCTATTTTGCGCCTCGGTCAAAGCTGCCTCGGCTTAAACCTTGCTCATGCCTTGTGTGCGTGCGTGCGTGCATGTGTGTGTGTGTGTGTGTGTGTGTGTGTGTGTGTGTGTGTGTGTGCGTGCGTGCGCGCGCGCGTGCGTGCGTGCGTGCATGCGCACGTGCTTGTGTGCATGTATGTATGGGTATGTCGCGATACACCAGGGATCTCTCTTTCAACTTCCTGTCTGGAAGCATTCCAGTCACCATCAGCACCCTTGCTTCACTGCAGTACATGTGAGCCTCTCTCACACTCCTCCTGCCTGCTTCTCCTTCCCCTTCCCTCTATCCCTCTCCATGCCTCTCTATGCCTCTCGTCCCTCCCTCCCCCCCCTCTCTTCACGTCCCACCTCCCCTCTCAGTCTCTTCCTTCCCTCACACATGCACGCAGAATTGCACGTTCCGCTGCACTCTTACCCATTCACCCGCACACACACTCACATGTATGCCATGCTCACACATGTACGCATGTGCACTACCACGATCCAAGCCACATGCATGCATGCAGACGCACCCTCACACTCAAGGTGCAAAATTTCGGCAAACGTAAAATACGGTCCGTTTTTTACGCTCGTATTTTACGGTCAGATTTAAAAAATTCGGCCGTTTTTTTGTTAGAGATTTTGTGACTTTTTTTTTTTTTTTTTGAAGACAGTACACACGACTCTGCTCCTGAGCAGGATAGCAAAGAAGCAATACAATGCTTACAAAGTGTCTAGGTTGCGCTCGTTCAACCCTCCTCCTCCTCCCCCCAGACTCTTCATCCTCTCCTCCCTGGAGTCACCGTTCTACTACAGTCCCACTGATAAATCCCCTTTGTCTTCCTCATGGCTGGTTCATCCGTTCGAGGGTTCATGGTTGGAACCAATACTTGAAAATATGTGTAAACCAGCTGGTTACAAGATTTCTGGTGTAAAAAACGGCCGTTTTTTTGCACCACATTAAAATTACCACTTTTTGGCGTTTTAAAACGTTTTAAACGGCCGAAAAATACCATAGCGTATTATACGCCAGAATTTCAATCTTTCGGTCGTTTTTTTGCACCTTGCTCACACTCATGCTATCACACGCACACCCATGCCCGCTCACCACCAACCACATGCCTGCACTGCACTCACAGCAGCCTTTTACACCTACCATACCATCCACCTCACCCCCCCACTATGCGTGTGCCACCACACCACACCACACCACACCATGGCATCACTTCCACCAGGGATCTGGGGTACAACCAGCTCTCGGGCTCGCTGCCCTCTCAAATGGCCAAACTCACCGGCCTCCAGCGCCTGTCAGTCCTTCCCCTTCCCCTTAGCCCCGCTTCATTTCGCTCTGCTCCACGCCCCCCACCACCCCCCCACCTCGCACCGTCTCCCAGCTCCCCGTTCCCACTGCCCCGCGCACTCTTCAACTTCACATGGGGCAGGCACGGCCCAACCACCAGCAAGTCTTCCCCATGCTTGCCTCCACCCTGCGCTTCTCTGCCTGCCCGCGCGTGTGCCTGCTGTATCTGCTGCGCTGCGCACGCGTGCATGTGTCGTTGTAAGGGTGCTTGCGCTGCATGCTGAGTTGGGTTCAGGCGAGTTGATGTGCTGTGCTGTGAACCGTGCCGCATGATTGTGGCTTGAGGAAGGGCGGAGATGATTCAGCCTTTACCCAGCAGCAGTGTGTGCTCCATGCGTTCCCTCCCGCACTGTGTCCTCCATGTGTTTAAGTGTCATCTCTTGCACATATTTATGTGTCATGTGTTGTATGTGTGTATGTGTGTATGTGTCACGTGTTGCATGCATACCATGTCCTGTGTGTGTTGGGGTGGGATGGCGTGCATGGCGTGCATGAGCGGGTAACAGGGATCTGCTCGCCAATGCAATGACCGGAAGCATTCCCCTCGTCTTCTCCAGCCTCAGTGCACTTCAAACACTGTGAGCCCTCGCCATGCCATGCCATGCCATGCCATGCCATGCCATGCCATGCCATGCCATGCCATGCCATACCACGCAATGCCATACCGCACACCACAGCTCAAGCCCCCATGCATATTCTATCCCCACCAAGGCATTATCCACACCACTACGCACATGCATCCCAGGCTCCTCACAACTTAAACAACCATTGCTACATGCTTCCCTGCCACCGCCCATGCCATTCTCCCCACATGCCATTCCCCCCCCAACTCTCTGGCCCACGTCTTTCCCCACCCCTCTCTCCTCCCCTCCTCCCCTTCCCCCCCTCTCCCCCCCCCCGCCCCCAGTGTGCTGCAGCGCAACAGCATGAGTGGCCCCATCCCATTGCAGCTGAGCGTGCTCACGGGCCTGAGTGAACTGTACGCTCTCACACACACCCCATGGGGACACGCCGCACCGCATGCTGGCATGGGGCATGCGCGCCATGGGGCATGGGGCGCTGGGCATGGGGCGCTGGGCATGGGGCGCTGGGCATGGGGCGCTGGGCATGGGGCGCTGGGCATGGGGCGCTGGGCATGGGGCGCTGGACATGAGGCATGGGGCATGGGGCACGGTCAGGGTGGGGGAAAGGCTGTTTTTGTGTGAGAGTGAAGGGTGGATGGGAGCAAGGGAGGGGTCTGCATGGTAAGGTTTGGCATGTTGGGGGTTATAGAGGCGTGTGTGTGGCGTGTGAGAGGCTGGGCCAGGCACATGACTGTGGCGTCTGCCTGTGCCTTTGTTCCCTGTGCAAACACACCCTTCACCCCTTTCTCTCACCACTCTTCCTCACTCCGTCATCCCCATTGCCTCCCCACTCCCACTGCTCCTTGTGCCGATTTGCCCTGGATCTGCCCCCCCTCGTCATCCCCGCATCTGTGCGCCGCCCCTCCATTCGCCCCACGCGCTGCTCCACTCCTGCTTGTTCTCCATCACCCATCTTGTCTATGTGCCTCTCCTCGTTGCACGCGTGTCCCCCCTGTGCCCTCGCCCCTCCTACACCTTCTCACTTGCTCCCCATTGACCCCAATGCACATGCCTTCCATCCCATGCCTCCTCACCTCGTCCCCTACCCCCCCTCCCCTACTCTCCCCTCGCCCCTCTCCCCCTTGTGCCCCTCCCCGTTGTGTCCCTTCCCCCCCTGCACCCCTCTCCCTCTGCTCTTCCGCCCCCTTGCTGCCTCTCTCTGCGCGTGCTGCCCCCTGCCCTGAGCAGGTCGCTGTCAAGCAACGCCTTCCAGGGCTCCCTGCCCGCCTCCTTCAGCGCCCTCACCTCACTCACCTGGCTGTCAGTGCCCTCTCCCCCCGCCCGCCCGACCCCCCTGCTTCGCCTCAGCCTCAGCCTTTGTTTCCGTCTCAAAGCACCCTCGCGTCTCTTCCTCACACCCTTCTCTCCCTCACACCCGCCTGTCTCTCCCTCACACCCTCTCTCACTCCGCCTCAGCCTCAGCCTCTGCCTCTGTCTCTCCTTTGCACAATGCCCTTTCTCCCTCACTCCCTCCCATCTCCCTTTCCCTCCGTTCCATCTCTCCCTCACACCTCCCCGTGTCCTCCCACTGACTGTCATGCTTCCCTCCCTGTAACCACTCTTCCGCTCTGTCAACCCCCATGCCAAGGAATGCCAGCACACATCATCAATCCATGCCTCGTCCTCCCCCCCCCCCCCCCCTCCTCTCTCTCCCCTTTGTGGCGGCATGCCTGCCTGTGCTTGCTCTCCCACCCGCCCTCTCCCCTGCTCACAGGTCCGCCAGCAGCAACCTGCTCAACGGCACCATCCCCTCTGGTCTCTTCACCCTCTCCAACCTCCAAGTCCTGTCAGTCCTGCTGCACCCCTGCCTTGCTTGCCACTGCACGTGTCTTGCTTGCCACTGCACGTGCTTGCCACACCACACCACAGCGCAACACCGCAAAGCACCGCACCACACCACACCACACCACACCACACCACACCAAACCACACCACACCAAACCACACCACACCACACCACACCACACCACACCACACCACACTGCAACTCGTTTCATCCCATCTTATCTCATCTCTTCTCCTCTTTCCTTCACTCCTCTGACCTCCCCTCCACTTCTCTCGCCTTCTATACTCTGCCCCCCCTGCCTCTGCCGCTCTCCCCCCTCCCCCATCGCAACCGCGCAGGGAGTTGGACGACAATAATTTCTCTGGTTCCATCCCCGACCCCATCTCAACCCTCTCCTCGCTGCAGTTCCTGTAACGCCCAACCCGCCACATCCCCTCCCCTCCCCTACCATGCACTGCACTGCACCGCTCTGTACTGCATTCCTCATCTAGCTTTCGAGTCTCGACCCGTGCAGCACTGCATGTTGTCAAGTCTCTCCGTTGGACCCCCCTTCCTCGTCCTCTCGTCTCTTGCTCCATCCTCCTCGTCTCACACCCTGCCAGCTCACCACCCCACCCCTCCCTCTCCCATCCCGCCACTGTCCTTCCCTACTCCCTCCCCTCCGCCACTCCCGGGCCCCACAACCTCCGTCTTTCCCTCCCTCCTTGCCCCTTGCCCCCGCCCACTCTTGCCCGCTTCCTCCCCTCCCCCTCTCCCTCCCCTCCCCCTCTCCCACCCCCCCACCTCTCCCCACCCCGCACACCAGCTCCTTGGCGCGCAATCGCCTGTCAGGCGCGCTGCCTGCCTCCCTCGCCAGCATCACAGGACTCGCCTACGTGTCAGTGCTGCCACTTTCCCTACCCCCCTTCTCCCCCGCCTCCCCTTCCCCTCTTCCCTTCCGTTTCCCTCACCCCGTCTTGACTCCCTGTACTCTCTGCTCGTCCCAATTATGTGTCGTCTGATTGCTTCTTGGCTAAGTTCCACCCCCCCCTCCCACACCCACAAAGCCCTACATTCCTCACGTACCACATGCCTTCCCACTCCCCCTTTCTTCCCTCAGCCCCCCCTTCCAACGTCTTTGCTCACATCGCTGCTCATGTCCTTCCCCTTATGCTGTGCCTATGCTGTGCATGCATAGGAGTACTCCCCCGTGACCCCAACCTCCTTTTCTGCACTTCATACTGCTTCCCATGGCTTTTTCCATAGCCCCTCTCCTCCTGCCCAAACCCCATCCGTACCTTTCTTGCAACACCCTATCACCCCGCCACCACCTGGTGTGCCGTGTGTTGTGTGTCGTGCCGTGCCATGTGCCGTGCATTCGCCTGTCGCATGCAGTGATCTGAGCAACAACGCGCTCTCAGGCTCCGTGCCCACAGCATACTTCTCCCGCACTGCCTCCAAGTGGACGCTGTAAGCAGCACACCACATGCAACATGCGCACGCTTGACATGCACATGCTTGACATGCACATGCTTGACATGCACATGCTTGACATGCACATGCTTGACATGCACACGCTTGACATGCACACGCTTGACATGCACACGCTTGACATGCACACGCTTGACATGCACACGCTTGACATGCACACGCTTGACATGCACACGCTTGACATGCACACGCTTGACATGCACACGCTTGACATGCACACGCTTGACATGCACACGCTTGACATGCACACGCTTGACATGCACACGCTTGACATGCACACGCTTGACATGCACACGCTTGACATGCACACGCTTGACATGCACACGCTTGACATGCACACGCTTGACATGCACACGCTTGACATGCACACGCTTGACATGCACACGCTTGACATGCACACGCTTGACATGCACACGCTTGACATGCACACGCTTGACATGCACACGCTTGACATGCACACGCTTGACATGCACACGCTTGACATGCACACGCTTGACATGCACACGCTTGACATGCACACGCTTGACATGCACACGCTTGACATGCACACGCTTGACATGCACACGCTTGACATGCACACGCTTGACATGCACACGCTTGACATGCACACGCTTGACATGCACACGCTTGACATGCACACGTCTTGACATGCACACGCTTGACATGCACACGCTTGACATGCCACACGCTTGACATGCACACGCTTGACATGCACACGCTTGACATGCACACGCTTGACATGCACACGCTTGACATGCACACGCTTGACAGGCACACGCTTGACATGCACACGCTTGACATGCACACGCTGACATGCACACGCTTGACATGCACACGCTTGACATGCACACGCTTGACATGCACACGCTTGACATGCACACGCTTGACATGCACACGCTTGACATGCACACGCTTGACCTGCACACGCTTGACATGCACACGCTTTGACATGCACACGCTTGACATGCACACGCTTGACATGCACACGCTTGACATGCACACGCTTGACATGCACACGCTTGACATGCACACGCTTGAACATGCACACGCTTGACATGCACACGCTTGACATGCACACGCTTGACATGCCACACGCTTGACATGCACACGCTTGACCATGCACACGCTTGACATGCGGACCACACGCTTGACATGCACACGCTTGACATGCACACGCTTGACATGCACACGCTTGACATGCACACGCTTGACATGCACACGCTTGACATGCACACGCTTGACATGCACACGCTTGACATGCACACGCTTGACATGCACACGCTTGACATGCACACGCTTGACATGCACACGCTTGACATGCACACGCTTGACATGCACACGCTTGACATGCACACGCTTGACATGCACACGCTTGACATGCACACGCTTGACATGCACACGCTTGACATGCACACGCTTGACATGCACACGCTTGACATGCACACGCTTGACATGCACACGCCATGCACATTCTCCCATGCGCATCTCCCGCACACATGTTCCCATGCCCAAGCCATGTTAGCACACCCATCGTGTCCCCTTCCCCCTGTCACCTCCTCCCTCTCCCCCGTTTTCCCTTCCGCTCCCCACCCCTCTCCCCCCACTCCCCCGACCTTTCAAGGGACGTGTGCAGCAACATGCTAGCAGGAGAGGTGGATGCACTAACCAACGGCACGTCGTGGTATCCTGCCACAACCACCTCTCCTCCACCCACTCATCCTGTCCCCTTCCCACCTCCCTTCCCCTCCCTTCCCCTCCTCTTCCCCCCCTTCGCCCCCCTCCCACCCCCCTACTGCTGCAGGGACGTGCGCAGCAACATGCTGGTGGGCGAGGTGGACGTGCTGGCCAACGGCACGGCGTGGTACGACCACAACTACCTCTCCTCCACCGTCTTCGACGCCTCCTCCTGCGACGCCGATACTCCTCTCTCCGTCTCCTTCCGCCGCAACTGCATCCCGCCCACCGTCTGCGACGCCATGCCGCAGCGCACTGATGCGGAGTGCGCGGCGTTCTGCGGCCTCAAGCCTGCGGATGGCGAGGTGTGCGGCGGGGAGGGCACGTGCGCGCTGCTGCCACAGCAGGCGGTGCAGGCGGGTGTGTGCACGTGCGGGGACTCGTTGCAGAACGGGGAGGACCCCGCCACCTGCGTATCCTGTGAGTTGCACTAATGAGCCCTGGCATGGCATGGCATAGCATGGCATGGCATGGCATGACATGGCATGGCGTGGTATGCTTTTGTGTGTGTGTGCATTGGACACGCCAAAGCTCCAACTCATGCAGTTTGCACCAGCTCGCTCTGCCCCTTCTCCCCCCCCTCTTTCTCCCCCACTCCCCTTCTCCGCTTTCCCTTCCGCCACAAGCTTGGCTGCGTTCCTTTCTGTTTTGCCTTTTGCCTTTTTCTTCCCTCTCAGTGGCGTCTTGTCTCCTTTCGTCCACTCCTCCCCCCCCCCTGCGTTCACTCTCTCGCTTGTGCTCTCTGTTCTCCTCCCTTGCTTGCGACGCCTGCACATCCATGCCCCAGCTGCCATGTTCCAATTGTTTCTCTCACCCATCCCTCCCCCTCCCCTCCCCTCCCTCCCTCTCCTTCTCCTCTCTCCTGTCCTCCACATCCTCATCTCCCCTCTCTGTTTTCCTCCTATATCTCATCTCATCTCCCATACCCCCTCCCCTCCGTACCCCCCACTTCCCCCCGCCCTTACTACCAGCCTCCGCGCCCCCAGTGGCTCTATCCACGACCCTGCCCTCCTCCTCCCTGCCCGCGGCTACCGTCAGCGGCGCAGCAACAGTGAGCGCCACCACAGGCGCCATCACGCTCACCACGCTTGCACTCAACGAGTGGGGCGCCGCACTCCTCACCGCCCCTACGTGCCTCTTCTCCTATGGCCTCCGCAAGTCCGGCTGCGGCCGCCCCTTCGCCTTCTCCGCCTCCTTCGCCTTCCAAAGCACCCCCGAGCCCGGGAAAAAGTCCGCTGGAGGGGTCGCGTTTGTGATCGCTGCTACTGATACAGCCGCGACAGGGGATGTGACCGCTCTGGGTTACTCCGGGCTTGGTCAGAGGAGCGTGGTGGTGGAGTTTGACGGGTTTCAGGACAAGGCCCTGACGATCAAGGACATGTCAGCGAACCATGTGGGAGTGAACCTCAACGGGAACCCAATGTCCGTGACAGCCGTCACCTCCCCCCTGGTGGCGGGCGACGGCAAGGTGAAGTTCGCGTGGATCGACTACGTGCCGCTGAGCGACGCCGCGGGGACGCTGTCGGTGTTTGTGGCGGCGACAGCAGTGAAGCCGGCCAAGGCGGTGCTGAGTGCGGCGCTGTCGCTGTGCACTGTGCTGGCGCCCGTGGAAGGGGAGGAGTCGTTCCACGTGGGGTTCACAGGGGCCAGCTCTGCGCTCGTGGGGCAGAGGAACGTCATTCTCAACTACAGCATCTCCACCAGTGCGTGCGCTGTGGGGGCTGGCTCGGGTGCTGTGGCGTTGGTTTGAGTGTGTGTGGGTGTGTGTGTGTGCTTGGGCGGGAGAGGGATTGGAAGGGGGTGGGTAGGGTAGTAAGCGTGCCGTGTGTTTGGCTATTGCTGTTTGTGCAGCTCGTATGCACTGTGCTCTGGAAGCATGCTTCCTTGTGTGCTGACAGGGTGGCTCTGTACTGTGGCTGTCCTCCACTGAGACTCACTGCATCCATCCTCCCTCATTCTGCTCTGCTCTGCTGTGCGCTGCTCTCTGCTGTGCGCTGCTCTCTGCTCTGTGCCGTGTGCTGTGCTCTGCAGGCTTACCCAGCGCCCTCTCACCAAAACCCACTGTTGGTGAGTCACTTACTACTCACTCATGCCCTATGCCTCCTTTTCCCCTACCATCGCCTTCTCTGTTCCATCGCAAGTCCCTCCCGCCTCTGCACATGCTTTATCCGCCTGCCTCAGTTTTCTTAACAAGAATGTTTCCTACCTTGACTCTCCTCCTCTTCCTCTCTCTTCCCCGCCTGTCTTCCCCCGTCCCTCCATTTCCCTTCCTTCTCAACCCCTCCCACTCTCACCCCCTTTCCCCTCTTCCCCACCACCTTCCCCAACTCCTCCTCCCTCTCTCTACCCCTTTCCCCAACCCACTCCTCTCCGTCTTCCACCTGCCCCGCCGTGTATCCGCCCCTCCCCGGCCACCAGCGTACCCCACGGGGTTCGCGGTCAGCAAGGATGCCTTCTCCTCCTCTACTCAACCACCTCCTTCACCGACTCCACCCCTTCCTCTCTCCCCGTTCCCCCCTCTCGTTTGTCCGCCCCTCCCCGTCCCCCAGCGTACCCCACGGGGTTCGCCTTCACCAAGGATGCTTTCTCCTCGCTCAACGCCAACCGCTTCTCGCGCCACGTCTCCGTGGGCGCCACCACAACCCCCTCCCCCGCGCGCTCCTGGTCCCCCAAGCCCGATGTCAACTGGAACAACACGGGCCTGCTGTGGCCCATCAAGGACCAGCTCAAGTGCGCCGACAGCTGGGCCTTCGCCCTGGTCAGCAGCATCGAGGCGGCGTATAACATCGTGGGGAATCTGAGCCGGTCTACGGTGTTCAATGTGGACCCGCTGAGGACGTCCCTCAAGAGTAATTGCAAGGGCGGGAGCCCTGTGTCGGGGCTGCAGTTCCTGGTGACCAGTGGCAAGACGGGCGGCGGGCTGACTGCCAAGGCTACGTACACGCGCCCGCTCGGCTCTGCTTCTCTCAGACGCGGCAAACCTGCCGTGCGTGCTCTCTTGCGCCGTCTCCCCTCTCCTGCGCTCTGCACACTCTCTCCCGCCCTCTTCCCTATCTCCCACACTCCGCCGGCCGCCCTCTCTCTGGCTCTTCTACTCGCTCTCCCCCGTCCCTCTCGCTTTCTCTCTCTATCTCGCCCTCCCGCCCTTAATCTTCTCTCCCTTCGCCTTTGCTACTCCACCATTGTGAGTGTGCGGGCGCTAGTGGAGCCTGACAAGACACACACTAACCTGCTGCATCCGCAATGCCTCCTCTTCTCTTGTCCATCCGTCTCCCACGCCTCTCCCTCTTGTACTCTACCAGCCCCCGACTCCCTGCCACTTCCCACCTTGCCACACCCTTTACTTCAAGTGCCCTATCGTGCTCTCTTTGATCCCTCCATCACGCACCATACGCCCTCTCTTCAAACCACTGCCCCCTCTCCTCACACCATAACCCCTTCTCCCCCCCCCCCCCCCCCCCTTCTCTCTCTCTCTCTCTCTCCCTCTCTCTCTCTCTCTCTCTCTCTCTCACCTCCCACCATCTCCCCCGATGCCACAGGTGCCCACGTTTCCCATAGCTGGCTTTGAGCGCGCCCCCGGCATGGGGTGGTTCGGGCTGCTGTTGGCGGTGCAGCAGCAGCCAGTGGTGGTGACCATTCAGGCCACCGCGCCCTCTTTCATGTCCTACAATGGGGTGCGTCTCCTCTCCTCTCCTCCTCGCACTTGCTGGATTGCTGTGCTGCTGCCGTAACCTCTTGGTGCTGGGCTGTTGTTGCCCGCCCAGGGAGTGCTACACTCGTCCTTCTTTACTCTCCCATCCACTCCCTACACTCTCTTCCCTAACCTCCCCTCTTCTCAGTTTCAAAACCCTTCCACTCTCACCTCCCCTCCTCTCCTTTGCACCCCCCGTCGTCCACCCCTGCTGCCCGCAGCTGTTCAAGTACCAGGACCCAGCGTGCTTCACCTTTGCTCCCAACCATGCCGTACTAGTTGTGGGGTACCGCCTCTCAGGCACCGACCCGGCTCTCCCTCACATCGCTGCACCCTACTGGATCATCCGCAACTCGTGGGGGGACGGGTGGGGCGACGGGGGCCACATGCGCATGGACATGCAGGGCGGGTACGGCGTATGCGGCATCAACACGCTCCCTGGCGTCTACCCCATCGTGCGATGTGCGCTGGCTGGCTGTTGGGGGCGGGTGGGCGGGAATGGGAGGAAGGGAGGGTCTAGGGGGAGGGGAGGGGGAAAGGGAGTGGGGGAGGAAGGGGAAAGGGGGGAAAGGGAGGGAAAGGGGGGAACGGGAGGGGGAGTTGGCGGACGGGAGGGGGGAAGGAAGGAGGGCGGAAGGGGATGTACACTGGGGATGAGGTGAGGCAGAGTGGGAAGCAGTAGAGTCGCATGGCTGGGCTGGGATCTGGGGTAGCGGCAGAGGCCCAAGGGGCATACGTACACTCATCTCCCCTTGCCATTCCCTTCCTCTGCTGGCACGGCACTCGTCTTATGCTCCACCCAAACCTCCCCCCTCTCCTGTGGTCCATGCATGCATACACGCACATGTACATGTTTCTGGCACCTCGTCCCAGTCAAGCATCTGTGCCGCCCCCTTCCCTCCATCTCAACACACCATACCGTCCCTGTGTCTCTGCCTATCCCTCTGCATCTCGACGCCTCCTAGACACTCCCTCCCTCGCTCTCGCTCCCTCCCTGTCTTCCCCGCTGCTCCTCTCCACCCCCGCCTTCCCCCCCTCTCCTCCTCCCCCCTTCCCCGCCCGCCCCCCCCTCAGTGTCCATCTTCCCCCCGCCCATCTCTCCCCCGTTGCCCTTGCCCTTGCCCTCCGCTCCCCCCACCCCCTGGTCCCGGCAGCATCATCGGATGCGTGCAACAGCGACATTGTGCAAGCGGACGGAACACCGCTGGCGAACCCGTGTGGAGGCTTTGCGTGCACAGTGGTGGGCACGAGCAACACGTGTGACTGCGACGGCACTGTTTATGTGCAGGCCACCAACCTCGATGGCTCACGGATCTGCACCCTTGGTCCGTGCCTGCCCTCCTGCTGTCTCTCTCTTCTCTCTTCTCACCTCTTCCATGCTTTGCTCTACTCTGCTCCGTCGCTGCTTGAATACTCCCTCAAACCCATGTGGTGTGATCCCCCCTATGGCCTCCTCCATTCCACACTCCTTTTGAAGCACCTCCCTCCCTCCTGATATGCTCTTTTTTTTTTTTTTTTAGGACGATTCAGAATTACCTGATTATGACATATCCCCCCCTCACCCCGCACTCCCTGGCCTGTGTGCAGTGGACGTGTGTGGGGCGGCAGGCTTCAACCCATGTGGGGCGGGCACGTGTGTGAATGACGGGGCGGGGTCGTACTCGTGTGTGTGTCCACGGGGCTTCATTCAAGGCACCACCATCGATGGCGCCTTCTCCTGTGCTCCAGGTACCTTTGATCTTTTTGTTCTTCACGTCTTCTCTTGCTTTTGAGTTTGTAGGACTGGTCATGGATAGATATACTCTTAGTAGGCTTGCAGCGGTTTGAATCCAGCCCTTGTCTTAACTGTGATGATACATACCTTCTCCTGTGCTCGAGGTACCGTCTCTTGTGCTCCACCTCCTTCTTCTGTGCTCCATGTAATCACTTGCCTTGCCTCGCCTCCTCCCATACCGGGGTTAATCTCTTCCATCACTTCCTCCTCTGCGCGTCCCTTCCCCCATCCCGTCTCCTCCCTCTTTCCTCCGTCTCCCCTCCTCACTCTTTCCCTACTTCCCTTTCTCGCCAATCCTTCACTCTCTCCCAGGGTTCTAAAAAACGACCGTTTTTTTGAAATTTTACCGTAAAAAACGGTATCGTAAAAAACGGTCGTAAAAAACGGTTTAAAACGGTTCCAGGAGGTGTTTCCTGTAGAACTAATGAAACGGCCACTTAGTGGGACCAAATTGAACCCAAAATGGAGCAGCATGAAGGGGACGGACCCCTTCTTGCATGTATGCGCTTGTTGGCATGATTGAAAATGTTTTTGACCTTGTTTTTCTCTTTTTTTTCTTTGTGAACAGACTTCTCTAACAAAAAAACGGCCGTTTTTTTGAAAAGTCACCGTAAAAAACGACCGTAAAAAACGAACCGTATTTTACGGAAACCGTAATTTTGCTCCTTGCTCTCTCCCTTCCTCGCCTTCTCTCCCTCCTTCCTTTCCTCGCCTCGCATCTACCCTCCCTCCCTTTCCCGTGTTCCTTCCCTCCCTTCCCTGCCCCTTACAGCATGCTGATGTGTCTCTTTCTCCCCACTTGCACAACCTCCCCTGTCTTCCATACTTCCTTCGCACCGACTTTCCCAACCCACCCGTTCCCGCCCCACCCTACCCCACCCCACCCCAACCCAACCTACTCCACTCTGCCCCACCCCGCCACACCCTGCCATGCCAGCGCTCACGGTGGCGACCAGTTACGTGGTGAGGGGTGGGGGAGTGACGTGTGCGCACGTGCACCAGACCGTGGGGCTCACACTGCAACAGCTCAAGACCCTCAACCCGGTACGCACACCCTCCCCTGCTCCCTCACATCACATCCCCCCCTCTACCTCGCACCAAGTTAACCCACCTCCGTGCATGCATGCACTGTTGATTCGCATGCTCTCTCCTCATGCTCACTGTCGATTCTCATGCTCCCCCCTCCCTCCCCCCTCCCTCCCTCCCTCCCTCCCTCTCGCCCTCCCCATGGCATGCGTGCAACCACGAGCAGGCGTTGAACTGCAATGCGCCCATACCGGTCAACACCACTGTCATCACCACGGCCACCTCCTCGCTCTCGCCCTGTTCCGCCTACTACACCACCGCTGCTGTGAGCCCCATGCCTCTCACTTGCATCACACGTGTGACTCGTATTGTTTTGCCTGGTAGACCACACCACCTCGGCTGTGAGCTTAGGGAATCACACCTTCTCTGCACTTTTCTGCTCAGAATCACGCACTCTCCCTTTCCTCCCCGCTTTTTCTCTCCCCCCTTCCCCTTTCTCCCATTTGCCGCAAATCGTTTACGAGTACCTGCATACCTGTTCTCAACCCATCCTCTCCTGCCCCATTCTTTTTTTTGCACAAATTGCGCCCTTTCTCCCCATCCACTCACCTCTGTTCCTCACTCTCTCTTCCCCTCCTATCCTTCCCCCTCTCCTCGAAACTCCCACCCCTCCCATTGTATCCCGCCACCTCTCCCTCACAGGGCGACACATGTGTATCCATAGCCACACGGCACGCCCTCACAGACACCTGCGATCCCATACCGGGGGAGGCCTGCGCATCCCCCTCCACCACAGCGTGCGTGAAGCCCTGCAAGACCGCTCTGCAGGCCATCAACCCTGGTCTCGACTGCAGCGCAGATACAGACGGCACTCTCCCAGCGTACCTCTCCGTATGCGTCAAGGTGGACTATCTATACGTGCCGCGAGTGCCTGCGTGCCCGCACGTGCACACGGTGGCGCCGGGAGAGACGTGTGATGTGCTGCGCAAGACGGTGGCGGGCGGCATGAGTGTGGAGGAGCTGTACCAGCTGAACCCCGGGATTCTCTGTGACCGCATCGCCCTGCCTGTGCCGGCCTCTGCTGCTGTCATCCCCAACTATGATGTGAGTGGCCAGTCTGGTCCATCCAGAGTTGCTAACTACACCAGTGCAGCATGCACCGGTCGAGTGTCCCTTGATTGCATCTGTACGGCCTATTATACCTCCCTTTAGATTCTATTGGAACAGTGTTGGTATTGGTTGGACTCTGCTCAGCCCCTTATTCCCCCTTTACTTATACACACACTCACCACCTTCCCCCACAACATTCACAGGTGTGCTGGGCTGACGTGTACGACCCGCAGATCCCCACCTGTCCGAGGCCGTACGTCATTCTCAAGGCTGACACGTGTGACACGATCCTGCCGAAGTCCTTCGGTGGAAGTCACGATTGCTTCCGACAAATCAACGGCTACGAATGCCTCAACCCTGTGCAAGTCGGTGCCCGCATTTGCCTGCCGGATCCTGCAGCTTTACTGAGGGGCAGGTGCCTGGTGTAGAGAAACTCGTGATGGAAAAACACGCGAGGACGGACACACTCTGTACATGCTTTCGGAACTACACTAGTGTGCTATTTATTTTCATTTGTTTTGTGATGTAAATTATTTTATGATTGTGTTCATGCCTTTCTCAGCTTGACTTGGTGGTCTGGCTGAACCGAAAGGTGTGGTTCGAAAATTCGCAGGTTTGGGAAGAGGGACCTGTTTTTACGTCGGAACCAGTTTTAGCATAATCCGACCTGACTGCACCCTACCACACCACCCGGTATAACGAAATACTCGCGCCACCTGCTAGAAATATGCTTTGAGGCCGAGCGGTCTTCTTGGCGTGTCAGTCACGTCGTGAATGTAGTCCCAAGGACCAGCCAACCTGCCCCTCTCGATTAGCAGCAGCGCAGCATCTTTCACCCCAGTGCACTTTCACCAAGCCGCGCAAAACTCTCCATCGCGTCGTTTCGTCAGCTAAACCGACTCGAGAGCGCGATCTTGTCTCTCGCACTGATCCGACGTTAGGTGGTGTGATCTGATCCGACGTGGATTTTACGACGCTCTCTCTCTCTCTCTCCGTATCCTCCCCGTTGTCTCCTCTCGTTTCGCCAAGATCCGTAATCGGTAGCTGGCCGTTGCTGCTGCCATCATCGCAATTCGCGAAGTAGAGACTGATTTGTGTTCTGGAGTTGAGCGTGCTGCGTGCCTTCGTCTACTACTCCGTGTGTCTGAACGGCCGTCGTCTGGTGCCGGCCGCCTGTTCCCATCGCCGTCCACCGTCCACCATCCACCGTGCTGCCAGACGCTGACCCTTACGTCACGGTGCAAGCAGGCACGCAAGCAAGCTGAAATGGTCGATAACTACCAGCACCAGAACCAGCTGCAGCAGCCGCCGGGCGCGGTGCGGCTGTACCACGAGCGGCAGGACGCGGCGCTGTGCGGCGTGCACTGCCTCAACGCGCTGCTGCAGGCGCCGCTCTTCGACGCCGCCGACCTCGCCGCCATCGCTGAGGGGCTCGACCGCCGCGAGCGCGCCGTCATGGCGGAGGGCGGGGCGGGCGCCGCCAGCGCGGGGGACGGGGGGAGCGCGGAAGGCGGGGGTGGCGGCGAGTCGGAGAACGCGGCGGCGGATGGGGATTTCAGCATTCAGGTGCGCGCCGTGCCGTGCCGTGCTCTGCCGTGCCATGCCGTGCCGTGTGGTGCTTGTTGTTAACGTGCCATAGTGAGGTTAGCTGTCTCCCGTGTAGTCGCCATGCAGCGTGCAAGCTGCGTGCATGATGGGTCATCAACGTGTACGATTCTCTAGCTGACATGCGCCTTGGTCTCTTTCCCTTGCTTCCCCCTTCCCCCCCACGTTTTACGCTCTAACCGAGGCCACGCTTTCCCTCGTTCCAGTTCTTCCCCCGTTCCCCTCACCCTCCCCCTCCCGCACCCCCCCCTCTCCCCCCTCCGTTCCGCCCCCCTTCTCTTCCCCCTCCCCCTCTCCCCCTTGCGCGCAGGTGCTATCGGAGGCGCTTGCGGTGTGGGGTCTGGCGCTCACGCCCCTGGACGCCGCCAACAGCGCCGCACAGGCCGCGCAGGCCAACCCGCACGCCCAGACCGCCTTCCTGTGCCACCTGCACGTGAGGAATGGGGGGGGAGGGAGAGGGGGGAGTTGGATCTAGGACTGAGGGGTTGGTATGAGAATGGAGGGATGTGGTGGGATGGATGGCGGTTTCGAGCAAGTCTGCTGAGGTGTTGTTGAAGAGATAAGACATAAATAGGAGGTTCCTCTGCGGAACCTACACCTTCCCTCCCTCCTGACCTTTTCAGACTTCAATCCCTTTCTCCCTCCCTTTCTCCCCACCCCCTGTGGTGCGTGACCAGCGGCACTGGTTTGCGCTGAGGAGGGTGGGGGAGCACTGGTTCAACTTCAACAGCCTGCTCGCCGCGCCACAACACCTCTCCGAGGTGCGCTGCCCTGCCCTGCACGCGTGGGGATGGGTCGGTGCACTTGTGTAGGGTTGTTTGTAAGGCTGCACGGATGCACGGGTTCAGGGATTGGGTTGGGATGGGCGTAGTGTGGGGTGGGGTGGGTTGGGGTGGGGTGGGGGGGTTGGCAAGATGTGGGGAGGTGGATTATTATTTATGCGCCTCACAAATAGGCGTGGGTTGGGGTGGGGGGGCTGGCGAGAGATAGGCAGGTTGCCTGCCCTCTTATAAGGGCTTGCTGCCACACACCTCTCTGTTGTGCATGAGGACATGGGTGGGTATGGGGCAGGGAAGGGCAAGCAGATTGGTGAGTGGCAGCAGTGTATTGGGGGATTTAGCCCTCGTCCTTGTGTTAAATTCTGTAATCTCCCCTCTTCCCCCTTTTCCCGTTCCCTCTTTCCCACTTTCCCGGTTTCCTGCTCCTGTTCCCGTTCCCTTTACCCTCCCCCACTTTCCGGCCACCACCACATTCTTCCACTTTCCTGCCACCACCACATTCTTCCACTTTCCTGCCACCACCACATTCTTCCCACGCCGTGTAAACCTGCTCCCCTGCTCCCCCGCTCCCGGCACCCACCCTGCCCCACCTGCACTCCCCACACTCTTTCCCCCACACTCCTCCCCAACCCCCTCTCCCCACGCCAGTTCTACCTGGCAGCATACCTCTCCTCGCTGCGCGCCGAGGGCTGGACCATATTCGTCGTCACAGGCGCCTTCCCCCCCGCGCCCCCGCCCGCGTCCTCCTCCTCCGCCGCGTGTGGGCGCTGGGTGACGGCTGCCCAGGCCTGTGACGAGCTCGCTGCAGCTGCTGTGGCGAAGCAGTGGGAGGAGCAGGAGGTTCGGGCGGAGCAGCAGAGAGAGATGCAGATCGGGGGGTTGGGAGGGATGGGAGGGATGTTTGGAGTTAGGGGTGGTGGTGGTGGTGGTGGATTGGGAGGGGATGCTTGGGGGGTGCATGGAGGGGAAAGGGAGGGGGTGGGAGGGGAGGATGCAGAGTTGGCTCGGGCGCTTGCTGCTAGTCTTGCTGCTGCTGGGAGTGAGGCGCTGGGGGGGGCAGCGAGCAGAGCAGGTGTGGCTTCTGGGGAAGCGGGAGCAACAGCAGCAGCAGAAGCACGAGCGGCAGCAGCAGCAGCAGCAAGAGCAGGAGCAGGGGAAGGGGCGGTGGCGGTGAGAGGTGCAGGAGCGACTGCAGAGGGTGGAGGGCATTTATGGTCAGAGTCAGAGAGACAGTATGAGGATGACTTGGCTCGTGCTATCGCTGCCAGCATGGCAGATAATACACAGGGCATGGGCAGTCAGGGGGGTGCTGCTGCCACTGGTGGTGGTGGCCCCACATGAGAGCGGGCGGGTGTGCTTGCTGGTGCCGGTGCTGTGCGGTACAGTGTGGTCTGTGGGGTGGTGCTGGTGTTGGTGTGGAAGAGCTGAGGGCAGCAGCATCGGTGCCATGGCTGGGTATGTGCGACCCCTGCTTCCTTGTTTATTTACGCTGCACTGGGTGGTCAGGGCATCTGTGCTGTGCACAATCATTTGCACTGCATGCATCCCTGTGCATGCTGGGTTGGCTGGCTGGTTCGGGGTTTCTAGCCTTGTGTTGGGAGTAAAATATTTTTCGTTCATTCCCACTTCCCCACCCTCTCCATCTATTTCCATCGATGCAGGTTGCGGTTTAGACATGCTATTTTTCAAAGCTCTACATATCACTAGGCTGTTGATCCTTGGCTGTGGCTGGCTAGGGCTCTAGATATGGTACTAGTGAATTCTGAAATCGTATTTTGTAGGTATTTTGCACAGATTAGGGATCCTACCGTACCGTAGTTTCTCATTCTAAAAAACGGTATTTTAACCAGTGAAATGGTATGGCAGCGCACATGTCTGTCCAGTAATGCTTATTGAGGTGCCATGTTTGTGTCAGTGTACGGTAGCTCCTTTGGTACCGTGGTTGCACCTGTGAGTATAGTGGATGGTGTTGGAAACAATCGGTCCTAAGCGCTTCTGTCGTGTCGAAACACTAAGGCACAAGCGAAGCAAAGCATATCGAGGCACCAGCGAGTCAACCCTCGGAGGTTGAAGTAACCGCTGGAGGTTACGCGAAAGTCAAAGGTCAGCGACCTTTGACCTGACAAGTACAGCACGACAGACAGCAAGGACACACAACTGACTCGCTACAGAGCAGTTGCCCGAGTCGTCACTGTATCGAACCGCAACAGCAACAAGTAAAACAGTTATAACCGTATCCTTTCATATTCCTTGTACTCTTATATAATCTTGTATCTCTTTGTTTTAATCAACTTACTTTGCCCTCACATACTAGCGCAAGGTGGTTCACAACTCTTTAATTAACGCTTCCGCTACTACACCAACTCTACCCAGAGTTCACCCCTGCAAAGATCCTAAGGGCCTTTTCAGCCCAACATGGTATGAGAGCAATCAGGGGGAATTCAACTACTATACCGACAACATCAATCACCATGGCTACACAAAAGGAAAGGAGCAACTCCAACGGCTCCCAGGGCACTACTCCTACTCCACCTCCTGCCTCTGGCCTACAGACAGAGGAGGGCACGGCAACAAGACCCAGAGCAACATCTACCGAGACTCCCGCAAATCAACCTGCAGACTTCGACCAGAGCATGATGGAGAAGTTCTTCTCCTTCATGTCCTTCTACGAGCAACACCAGCAATTGGCACCTGCGCAGTCACACAACAGCAACAACAACGGAGCAACACCCATGAGTCTCGACGGCTCATCATATGCACGAGGAAATTAGCAACAGCAGCCCACCTTTGCTCCGTACGAGCGCGGGTCCATCAGCTTCATGCCACACCCACAGCCCTCACCTGGACAAGTAAAACCACTGGACGCATTACAAGTTCAGTCGCAGTTCGCACACGTTCTGAAGATGCAGACGTCAAGACCCTTTGATGGAAGGGACTTCTTCACCTGGTCGTTTGAGTTCGAGCTGATGATGGAAGGCGCGCAGATACTCGGGTTCTTCGACGGGTCTCTGCCATACCCAACAAACGGCACACAGTACGAGAAGCAGCAATACACCTATCAGTCAATGATGGCGTACACGATCCTACTGAGGAATATCACCCCGACTCAACAGCAGAACATAAGGTCTTACCGAGGTTACGGCAACTCCGCGGAGCTCGCGTACAACCACCTGAAGAGCCTGTATCAAGCAACAGACAGCGTAAGCCAAAGTCGGTTAATGGCACAACTGACAACGGTTGAAATGAAACCAGGGGAGAAAGGAATGGCGTATATCAGCCGATGTCGCGAGTTGCGCGACAAGCTCCTTCGATGCGGAGGATCGATCTCTGAAGACGCCTTCGTGACAGTCATCATCGGCGGCCTCGGTCCTCAATGGCGCGCCACAAAGGCCATTCTCCGAGCTCACGGAAGAATCTCCGAAGCAGCGCTCTGCGCCAAAATCCACGCCGAGCAGCAAGACATGGACCTGCAAGAAGAACGATACAAAAAGAAAACATCAGCACCGGAATTCGCGTCCCACACTCAGCGACGCTACAACAACAACAACAACCGGCAGCAACAACCGAAGCCAGTACCTCCGTTCTGCCACATCTGCAAAACTTCAGGACACCCGCGCACGCACTGCCCGAATCGTCAACAGTCAACAACTCCACAGCGGCAACTTCGACCTTCAAGCAGCCAAATCGCCTCAACGCAAGCAAATCCCACGACTCAGATTCAAGCTTCAACGACCTCAACAGGACAACCTGCACAAGGAGCAAGAAACATCGTCAACTGCATGGCAAAGCTGAGTGACTCCTGCATCACCGAGTCACCGCCACACTACTCACCGGAAGAGCAACTCGACGAAACCACACCCCGCCGCGAGTCACTTCAGCCGAACCCGACATACGCCGCCATCGCCCAAAGCGAACCATCCGGAAGGGACACATGGTTCTTGGACAGTTGCTGCGGACAGCACATGTGCTCCTCGGGACGCTTCGTTCAACGAGAACACCAACTTCAACGCGAAGTTGTCATTACAGTCGCCAACAATCAGAACCTGCGAACACGACGACAAGGTGTAGTTCAACTTCAGTCAAGGGAAACAAACGTTGTACTGCAGATGTCAAAAGTACTAATCGCGGAGGGACTCGGCTACAACTTACTGAGCGTCAGTCAGCTAATGGCGAAGGGGATTCACCTCGAAGCAGACCGCACCACCCAAGAATTCAAGCTGTATCACGGGAGAGGAGGACTCTACATCGGCAAGGCGGTCCTCAAGAACAACGTCTTCGTTCTTGACTTCGTTCCTGACCTTGGCACCGCCGACTGCGACGCCATCGTTAACTTCACCGACTGGACACACCCTCCAGACCTTGATCCAGATTTCAGTCCAGAAGGCTTCTGGTATTCACACACCATCCCTGAAGCAGAAAGAACAAGGGCGTTAGCAACAATTCAGACAACATCAGCAGCAGCAGAGACAACATCGGCAGCAGCAGAGACAACGTCGGCAGCAGCAGAGACAACATCGGCAGCAGCAGAGACAACATCGGCAGTAGCAGAACCATCAACGGCAGCAGCAGGAACGTCAACACCAATTGCTGGTCCTTCAACGACACCGCTCCTCATCGACGACACACCACCGACACCCGCGCAACAACTACACCCAGCACCACGAGAAGTTCATCGTAGTGCCAACTTCACCGCCAACTTCTACTCCAACTCCGATATGTACCGACGATCACCCGGACATCGCGCCGACGAAAGCACCTGGCACGCAAGGATGGGACACCCAAGCAACACAGTATTAAACAATACGATAAGAGCAGGAGTACTCGACAAGGACTCACTTCTACTGACCGACGGACGAGAACTTCAACGAGTACGCGGAACGTGCCTCACCTGCCCTGAGGGTGACTTACCACATCGACCGTTTGCGTCTCATCACAACCCGAGCGCACCCGCGTACGCACCACTCGAGAAGGTGTATAGCGACATCCTGTACAATCGGGAACCAGGACAAGTAATATACAACTATACAATCACCTTCATCGACGCCGCCACCCGTTACGTCTGGCACTTAAACCTCCCTAGCCGCGACATGGCATTCGCAGCCTTCGTTGCCTGGCTACCAGTAGCAGAGAGAGAATCGGGCGTGAAGCTGAAAAGCTTCCAGTCAGACGGAGGAGGAGAATACACCTCTCAGCGATTCAAGCAGTACCTGGCGGAAAGGGGAATCAAGCGACTCATCTCCCTTCCCTACGCCCATCAGCAGCAGGGTGTAGCAGAAAGAATGAACAGGACCTTGCAGAACAGCATGCGCAAACTGTTACGTGGCATGCGGCTACCCAACCACAAGTGGCCTGCAGCAATGGACCACGCCGTCATGCTGCACAACTTGCTGTCGTCATCATCGCTTCCGAACAACGCATCACCGCATCTGCTATGGACAGGGAAACAGGGCAGCACAAAAATGTTACGAGTATTCGGATGCATGGTACAGTACCGACCCCCAGCAGCACGAGCGGGCCGATTTTCTCAACGAGCACAGTGGGGACTACACCTGGGAATCGAAAAGAACTACAACGCTTGGAAAATCTTCGACGTCCACTCCAAGGAAACAGTAGCAGCACGTGATGTAATTTTCTACGAACGACTCACGCTCCAGACATACCTTGCCAACCTGCACGAAGACCAGGATCCCACAGGTGGTTTTCGTGGTGACCAAGCCTTCGCCTCAGCAGCGGACGAAGCTGACTGGGACGAGCAGAATGTGGACAACGCATCAGAAGAAGCCGGACCTCTTCCGTTCAGCTCCGTCGACGTTCCCATGGACGAAGACAACCCTCGCGAAAGTGCCAACGCCGAAACCTTCTACCATTTCGCCGACAACGGTTACGTAACACCTGCGACAGTCAACACCAACGAAGCAGAACGAGTAGGACCGAACTTCATACCTGATCCAGAAGCGGGAGATGAAGCAGCTTATCCCGAGGACGTAAATCTTCCCCGCTACTCACAGAGTGGACTGCAGATTCTCGGACTCGTCACCGCAGTCCACGGCACCGCCACTCCTAAAGAGTCTGCGACGGTTCAGCAGGCTCTGGGGGGGGAACATAAGGAAAAATGGCGCGAAGCCATGGACAAGGAACTGAAGGCACTGGAGGAACGCAACACGTGGAAAGTGGTTCCTATCGGCGTGGCACGGAACAAGACAGTGCTCACCGGGAAGTGGGTCTTCCGTGTGAAGACAAAGGCTGACGGCACCATCGACAAATTTAAGGCACGCTGGGTCGTACGCGGCTTCGACCAAGAGCACGGACGCGATTTCACTGAAACATTCGCTCCGGTCAGC